CATAATGTTTATGGCGGTCGAATCTCACAATCACGATCTAAGTAACTCTTCAGGGTTTGTAAAGTTCTGCGGAAAGCAACCAAACGTGAAGATCTCAAAAGAGTTTTTATTAAGCTGTTAGAAAGCTGTTTCAGAATACAAGAGTTTGTCAAATGAATTCTCGATCTCTTTTTGGGTGATAATGAGAAACTATATACATTACTTCTAAGTAAAATGATGGGTTTGCCCCATTAAGAAATAAATCTAATTTAAGCATATTATTCCATCAAACCCATTTTGCTTATGGGTTTAATGTCATTTTGGGTCTAGATTCAGACTGAGCCTTTGTAGATTTGCTTTGATTTTGTCAAGACGTTGTGGAGTTGATCTCGTCACCATATCAATCTCTTAGGGGTGAAATCTGACCCCTACAGTTAGCCCCCCAGTTTGACAGTATTGAGTTATGATGAATTCGAGGTAAAAGTTGCTGAAGTCTGAGATCGTTGTATTTGACTGCAAAGTTGCCAGACATGGAGGTCTTGTCATCGAACTCGGAAAGTTTCTATTATTCGGCGTTGAGCCGATGTCCACGTGTTTTCCCGGACTTATTTTTTTTCCTTTGTCTTTAGAAAACTGAGGAGGTTGATGGTCTTGTAGCTTTAGTTGGCTTTAAAGCGAGTTGGAAAATGTCATGAATTTTTCCAGAAACAAAATGATTTTAAGGAATCCTCCAAGTATAAATAAGTCTGCTTCTTCGACATTTTTTCTACCAATTCACCTTTTTCTAGGCAAAAGATAAAAATTTTCTCCTCTTCTGCCTCTTTATTTTATTATTTTTTTATGGTCTTTTCTTCTTTTTTTTGTTTATCTCAAGAGAGTGTTTTTTTTTGTTTTTGGTCGAGTCGTCGACCTACCTAGACGCTACCGCTGCTTCTCGTGCCATCGTCGACTACCTAGACGGTGACAGTCAGCGTCGTCCTCACCATCTTTTGACTCGGCACGTCGATGTGAACTCTATGGCTTTCGGCGATGTGGATCTCGACAAGAGGAGCGGCGGAGCAAGGTCATCTTTCCAGTGAGGATGTGTTCGGTAATGTTGTCACCTTCGTGACGAGGTCTTCCAGCAGGGTTTCACGATGGTTCGGTCCGGCGAGGAGGATGGCTTCGCGTCATGACACGGAGAAAACGACGGTCCCACGTGGTGGATGCGACGAACTGGGATTCGAGCGGCGATGCAGAATTTGACGGCAAGATCCAGATTGTGGTGAAGCGAGGCGGCAGCGAGGTGAGATCGGCGTCTCAAACGATGGTTCAAAATCTAGCCGAGTTGACTCGGTGAATTTACTCGCGAGTTATCCCGGTGAGTTGAATCATTGACTGAGTCAACTCGGTCACCTAGTTGTTGTTTTTTTTTAACTCGGTGACTCAGTGATTCGATGACTCGGTAACAAGGCTGGCTTCGTGGAGCACATTGACTCAAAATGTTGCACTTTGGTGCAGCTGCGAGGTGAATTTAAAAGTATGGTTTCCGATTCCATGGACTCGCAGCTTGACCATTTACGCGACAACGACAACATGGGGACAACCTACTTAGATGATTTCGGAGAGATAGTCGGTGATCTTCTGCTAATTGAAAGAAGAATGGTTCTTTCTCCAGAGTGTGACAGTGATAGTTTGACGAGACCAACCTACTCCAATGCTCTAGTTGCGATCGATGAGGTTAGCGATGAGGTTGCGGTTTTCTTGGCTAGGTGGCGTTCATTGATGGCGAGGTCTTCGCGACAAGACTTCTGTGCAGCGAGAAGGTCCCTGCCAGTGAGGTCTCATGATGACTTAGTCCGACAAGGTGATTGGCTTACATCGCGATGAGGAGAGAACGACGACATCGGGTGGTGGACGTGGTGAGGTGAGACTCGATCGGTGATGTGAAAGCCGACAGCGAAGCAAGATCGATGTGAGGGCAAGGTAAAGCTTGATCGATGCGACGGCGAGGCGAAGTTTGATCGATGCAATGACGAGGTAAAGCTTAATCGACGTGACGGCGAGGCAAAGCTTGATCGATGCGACAGCAAAGCAAAGCTTGATCGATGCAACGACGAAGCGAAGTCAGTGAAGGTGGCACGACAGTGAGGTAAAGCTTGATCGATGCGACGGTGAGGTAAAGCTTGATCGATGCGACGGCGAAGCGAAGTTTAGTTAATGCGATGACAAGACAAAGTTTGATCGACGCGACGGCGAGGCAAAGCTTAATCTATGAAGTTGACAACCAAAGGGATGCGGTTGTGCAGCAGGCTGCTGATGAAGCGTAGTGCGAACTGGCAGTGAAATACGAATCGAAGATCGACCGTGCTAGAAAGAAGATCAAAGTGATCAATGGCCAGTCGAGTATTGACATAATTGTTCTTGCTGAAGTCTGGAGTAACATTGAATTCGTAAAGTTGCTTTAAAGCGACGAGACGCCTGATCTTGGTGAAGAGTTCATCGACCTTAAGAAGCAGGAGGCGGACCTATCACTTGCAGATGAGGTGTTTGCTAAGCATGTGCGCGAACTTGAAGGGATCCTTAGGGATTCGCCTATTATCATGACTGATGATCGAGTTGAGGAATTGGACGCTGATGTCGTTAAAGAGGAGGCTGACTTGGATTCGAGTTCTTCTAATTTGTCAAGCAATGATGACTTATCAAACTTTGCAGTGATGATTTAAGTAGGCCGTCAAGATTGTCGACAACAATGAAGAGACCGCACCGTAGTTGTTTGATTTTTTTGTTGTAAGCACTTTGTCGTACTTTGGATTTCAGATTTAGATTTGATCCAGCTTGGATGTTGTTTATTCTTTTGTTCAGACTTATTGTTATTTTTGCCTTGCGTTCTTGAGATAACAATTTGAGTTGGACGATGGTTGTTCTGGTTTTGAGGTAGGTTGTCGATTGGTTCGTTTCCAAAGATCAACTATATTGTTGTTGGGACCAGCGATAAGTTAGTTAGATTTTTAGATGATCATTTTGATTTACAAGTGAGTCTGCATCGACGCGCCTACTCCGAGAATGACCATATTATTGCGTAATGACCAATAATTAAGTTGTTGGGGTTTTTGAGATAAACATTCTGATTTACGAATATGTTCCCATGAACAATTTTGCTCCAGCAATTAGCACAAGATTTTGTCCAGCGAGCCATGCGCTGGTTTTTCGAAATGAACATTCTGGTTCACGGATATGTTCCCGTGAACAAGTCCTCTCCAGCAATGAACATTGAATTTAACCAGGGAGTTATGTGTTGGGTTTTTGAGTTGAACATTCTGGTTTACGGATATGTTTCCGTGAAGAAGTCTGTTTCAGCAATGAACACTGAATTTGATCAGGGAGCTATGTACTGGGTTTCTGAGTTGAACATTCTGGTTTACGGATATATTCCAGTGGAAAAGTCCGCTCCACCAATGAACACTGAATTTATATAGCGCGCTTTAATCCGTTGGAGATGTATAGTTCATTACTGTGGCCAACAACAATGGTGTGATGAATAAAAGTCTATTTCAGAAAAGACTCTGAATAAATTTGCAAGTAAAAACTCGGCTTTTGATATTTGATTTTGTCAAGTTTGCAAGTGATCACTTGCTTTTTTTGTTTTAGTTTGTAAGTAAACACTTGGCTTTTAATAAATTTCATTCAGGGGCTGTGTAACTGCTCTAAATAACACTACTCTCATCCCTCGCTTTTGTTCAATTATAAATGCAAGTAAACACTTGACTTTTGATTGATTCAAAACGATTTAC